TAAGATATAATAGAAAATTAATATCTAAAGGAAATAATTACTTAACCTTCCTTTTAGAAGTCCCGTAATCGGATAAAAAGTAGCCTATAAGTTGCTCCGGGTTACTCACTACCTACATACAAAATTTCATGTAAAACGGTTCAGTAGTTTTTGCGTAAATCCGGAATATACAGACAGACAGACAGACAGAAAGACAGATAGACAGACAGACAAAAATTCTAAAAACCCCTAATTTGGATTCAGAACCCTTTATTTAGTCCCCTGGACTTGTTTTTTCAAGAATATATTAGAATTACAGACATTACAGACACGACTTTTCTACAGATTTATTATATGTATAGATTGTAAAAATACGACTTTGAATTATTTGGTACCATTCGTCTTTCGTTTACTGACTAGACGCGATTCAAATATCTCTTATGATTCATATTTATCCTCGTTTGCGAATCAAAATGCAGATGCGTTGCCACCCGTGAGGACTAAGTTGGAATGCCTCTTTTCCAGTAAAAAAGGTTTCCGGTTCTCTACACTCACCATACGAAACACAGCAGTGTTAAACTGCTATTTTACGCTGGTATTCTGTGAGAGCGTGGTCCTTCCCCGGTCGAGCCGACCCATTCCTGCTACAACTATACTACTAATATAACTGCAGCATGGCTCTACCTCGTTAAGAGGCTACTCCATGCGAACGACCTTGAGTATTTGGCCGGCGGCGCGCCGCTCGCTTCAATATATTGGTTATGAAATATGTAAGACGCCACCTATTGTAGGTACGAACGTAGTATTATTTTTTCAACATCAATAAACTAATTTATGGAAATACACACAGCGTACAACGATAAATGTATTTTAATTTTTTTATTCGGTATATTAGTTGCATTATATTAGAATTATGTATTTTCATATATTATCTAATTATGAAATTTTATAATTAATTATATATTAAAAATGAAGCATTGAAAATTGTGAGTTTAAAAGATACCTACTCACTATAGGTAAATAAATAGATAGCTCGCCTTTTGTACAAATATTTGGTGCAATAAATAATAAATAAATAAGTAGAATGTTTCGCAGATGTGTTTTTGATTATTGTTAATTTTTACGTGTCACGTATTGAAAAGTAATATACCTACCTACAAATTTTTGAACTGAGCACCTTGTAACTTAGCCTGCTTATTACTTATGCTGGCAGACATTATCCTCACCCCAATGATTGATGAGGATAAAAATCAATTTTATTTCTACATACGTAATTATATTTATTTATACATAAGGGTAACTTTAATAAAGGTAATACAAAAATCAACAAGAAGTATAAGGGTTCAATCTTTCAATTTCAACTGTAAAAAAACGTTACCCCAACACTAGGATTTTCTCCTGTGTCGTGGAGGCAGTTTACAAACATAAATTGCACAAGGACAAACATCCAGACCCGGAACAATTATTTGTAGGCCATACAAATACTTGTTCCGTGCGAGATTCGAACCCGCGGCTCCCAGCGCAACAACTGATTGCTAAGCCACTGCGCCACGGAGCCGTCGCCGGGTTATAGCTAAAGTGACCATACGTCCCGTTTTGAACGGGACTGTCCCTTTTCTCGGTCACCTGTCCCATTGTCCCCAAACAAAGCTCCGGAACACAAAATTGTCCAGTAACTCGTTGGATGGAAGTATTCAAAGTCAACAATCTTCAACATAATTTTTTTAATCGAATATATTTTATGTCTACCTGGTACAAATGCTCCGGTAGAAAGAGTATTTTTTTATTTTGAATAAATTGTGGACGTCTGAAAGAAACACTTACGGTTCCAGTTCTAAAGGCGATGTTGTTAACAAAAATAACAATAAAAAAAACTTGAGCAGAATTTTATTCTTATTTAAAATCATCAACAACTTTATTAAAGCAAATTTAATTCACTTACAAATGTAATTAATAATGAAAAAAAAATATGTTGCTTTTAATAATTACCGTCTATACCGAATATAATTTTATAGTGAACACTAATTGTATAAAGTTATAGTTTTTAGACTATAAAAATAAACCCGTGTCCTGTTTTGAGTTAAAAAATAAATGGTCAGTTTAGTCTTTTTAGTTAAATTTAGTTTTAAAAATTTTTAGTTTATAGTAAAAAGTAGGTATATTAGTACCTACTTAGATACTTTTTACCGAATTATAAGTATAGAACACCTTATGTACTCAATTATTTTTTGAAAAAGAAGAAAAAACAAGCAATAAATAATATACTATATTTTAGCAAAAAACTATAACTTAGTAATACTAATTATAACTTAGAACATAAATGAAAAACTCATAACTGACTTTTTGGCCCGACCCAGGGTTCGAACCCGGGACCTCATGATCAGCAGTCGCACTACTACAACCACTAGACCAACGAGGCAGTACTATACCTAACAAGATATTGTGGTTGGGTATTAGGATTATTTTTAACTGTATTCTATACTGATAATATTGAATTAGCCTTTTATAGTGTAAATTATAATATTTGTCGAAATGTTAATTATGGATTCGAACCTTACATGCTAATGGTGCTTCATTTTTTTTATTTGCATTCACTTCAAAAAAAATACACGCAAAAAGCTTCATCGCGCAGTAAAAAACATAACAAATATATGTATAACTAATACGAAAAATTATACCCAAAACAAACAAATAATACTACCTATAAATAACCTAATAAGTAATAATATTATCGACTGATATGACGTGGGCGTATGCGCTGGCCGACGCTCTAGCGACACGGGCTTCACGTCGAAGAGCTCAGCGCTCACTGACTAAAGCAAGCCCGTGGGCAGTGAATACGCCAAATTTTAAAATAATTTCTTAATAAAATCAAATTTTAGTCTTTTGAAAAAAAATTTATAATAGAAATGTTCATTAATAAATTGCCTATCCCTTGGTGTATATCGCAAAATAAAATAATACTTACTTTACGAGGAGATGCATGTTATCAATAATAATTTCACATTTATGTGGTTTCGTTGTAAGGAGATTATATTAATATTTATTCCTTTAAAAAAATTGGATATAGCTTTTATAAAATCAAGATTATGTAGAAATATAATGTGTTTTTTATTTGTTGATATATCTTTTAAATAAAAAGTAGATAGCTCCTAAAAACCGCACAAATAACGACTAGCGCGACATTTTGCTCAACCTGCGCCTTAAGAAGCCTCATCATTAAAACGTTATGTTTCAAATACACGTTATTCGGTTTTTAGTGAATGTATGTAAATTAAACAATGCTTCAGTGGTGTGCTCCTTAATTTTCTGAACATTTTTATTAGAATAAAAAATTTATCAGCAACAGCGCCGGATGATCCCAGCTCTGTTGCTGACTCTGTCACTGATGTGGTGCTACAGGGAATGGAACTATTTATTCCATCATCTGTGGTACCCATCGGAGGCAGATCTCAGCCTAGGTTTGGTCGCTCCTGTAAGACTGCATTACGCAGTAAGCAGGAGTGTTATTAAGCCTGGGCTGCGGCTTCGGCGACTCGGGATGTAAACACCAACATGCTTAAAAAGAAGTATAACTTCGCCTCCAGGTCCTTCAATAGAGTTATTGCCGAGGCAAAGTCAGAGCACATAGGCAGAATTGGCGAGAAACTAGTTCGCCTTCCTTCGGAAATCGGGAACTTCGGGAATTTCTGTAAGCCATCACTACCATCTCTGCACAGGCAGGACGACTCACTGGCCCACGCCGCAAAAGAGAAAGCCGACCTTTTAGGCTACCTTTTTGCGTCCAACTCGACTCTCGATAACGGGGAGAACACACCGCCGACCATCCCGCTGTGTGAGTGCTCCATGCCAGATGTGCGGTTCTCACAGCGCTCGGTTCGCAAAGCATTCCTCTCCCTGGACATCCACAAGTCGAGTGGGCCTTACGGAATCCCCCCAATTGTGCTGAGGACTGTGCTCCGGAGTTGGCACCGGTTCTAACGCGTCTTGGTCCCCAGTGCCAGCTCCTTCCACTTGACCGCATCCAGCGCAGAGCGGCTCGAATCGTCGACAACCGAGTCATTTCTGATCGGCTCGATTCATTGGCACTGCGAAGAGATGTTGCATCCCTTTGCATTTTCTTTCGCATTTACCACGGGGAGTGCTCTGAGGAATTGTTCGGATTAATCCCAGCCGCCAAATTTCACAAACGCACATCGCGGCAGAACTCCCGATACCATCCACACCATCTGGATGATTGGCGGACCACCACTGTGTGATTTAGAAGATGTTTTCTTCCTCGTACAACTTTCTTGTGGAATCGATTACCATCAGCGATTTTTTCGGATCGATACGACTTAGGGACCTTCAAGAAAAGAGCCTACTCCTTTTTAAAAGGCCGGCAACGCATCTGCAATTCCCCTGGTTCCCCTGGTGTTGCAGTTGTTCATGGGCGGTGGTAGTCACTTACCATGAGCTGCATGCTCGTTTGCCCCCTCTCCTATAAAAAAAATATTATAGAAACTTATAGGAATATCAGTACCATTTTGGTTTATTTATTTCTAATGTAGTAAAAATAAAAAATAACTAAAACTTTTCAACAAAGCGTCAACAACATTCAAACTTCTTTACTTTTTTCTATTGATTTCACTTCATCGCCATGAAAATTCTCGAGGCAAGTTTTGGCTAGCATAGCCACTACAGTGGTTGTGTTGGCTGGGATTTGCTCAGGGAACGCTTGAATTATTCATCTTTTGTGGTATCATACAACGTGTTTGCTGTGCATTATTATATTACTTTTATTGTGATATTACTTTGTGGATAACGGTGCTGGTTGTGTAATTACTTGTATTTCCCTTTTTATAAGACCTGTATTTTGTATTATGTTTTATTACACAATTGTTTGTTGTCCTGAAGATAATAAAATAAAATAAAATAAAAATAAAATAAAATTGACAGAAAAAGTCGTGGAAGCCCTCATTCAACGCCTATACGATAAAATCGTATGAAGGATTTACATAATAAAATATGTGTGACGTCAGCTGCCAAAGCTGATGCTGGACAGTTCTGTAACGGGGGTGCTGGCGAGTCCGTCGTCGATCACGACGCCGATGTCACCCAGCGGCGGCAATGGCGCGGGCGAGTCGTGCAGCCTGGCGCGCTCCGACTCCGCCTCGTCCTGCTGCAGCGTGCGCTCCGCACCAGAGTTGCTGCTCGGTCTGCAGTACAGCCCCACTACTGGACATTTGTCTGTGGAGGTATGTTATTAGTTAAGCTTAAAGAAATTTATTTTCAAAAAGGCAAACAATGCCACTTACATGAAAATAATTATGAATTAGAATGGTGAAAAATGTTCAATTATATATTGAGCTGTCTCAAGCTGTCTGAGACTTAAAACTAATGAATGAGCTTACATTTTTTATATTACAAGGCAATTTATTATAAATCAGTGTTAGTTTGTTCGTACCTTTGATAGTACAAGTAAGCTATGTCAACGAAGACTGCGTTTACAAATTTGTGATTTTTTACAAAAGACAAGTTAGTACGGATGGTTTTATCAAGTATTTTCCTAATTATAATACAATTATTATATATATGATTTGACTAATGAGTTATAAATAGTGTACCGCATTTTTTCTGGTAGGCACTGGGAAATATTGTGAAGTGATCCAGTACCGAAAGTTTATTTTTAATCTGATATATTTGCTTATTCCATGTTAAATAGTTGTCCATTCTCAACCCTAGGTATTTTTCGCAGGTTTTTTGTTCTAAGGGGGTGTTATCTATTATCAGTGGGGCATGTAATGGTATAGTTTTGTTCCTTGCTTTAAAAATTATGTAATACGTTTTAGAAGTGTTCACCGTTTGCAAATTATACTGGAACCACTCAAACAATAGTTTTAGATCTTCTTGCGCTTGCGAGATAGTATCATGTATATTAGATCCGAAATAAAATAGACATGGATCGTCAGCGTATAAAGTTATATAACCATGTAGCCCTAGTTCTGCGATGTAGTTTACATAGACTAGAAATATGAGTGGCTCCAGTATGGATCCCTGAGGCACGCCGTGCGTAACAGACAAGGCACTACTTTGAAAATTATCCAGCTTCACTACTTGCGATTTATTTGATAGGTATGATTTAAATATTTTAAGTACACTAACTTTGATACCGATGCCTTCAAGTTTTTCTAATAGCAATTTGTGACTTACAGTATCAAAGGTTTTTTTAAATCGATAAAAACACCTAAAACTAAAGTTTTTCTATATTATCTTTTATTTTAGTTGTTAGATCGATCGTTGCGGTAGTGGTGCTACTTTTGTTTCGAAATTCATATTGCCGTTCTGATATAAAGTTAAAAGAATTTAATTAATTTACTAAGCGGTTATGTATGACTTTTTCTAAAAATTTTGACATGACCGGCAATATTGATATCGGAAGATAGTTTCATAGGTCGGTTTTAAGTCCCGTTTTATAAATAGGTGTTACTTTTGCAACATTCATAGTATCTGGGAACTCTCCATCGATCATAAGTTTATTGAAACATTCAGCTAATCCATATGTACGTATTTTTTTTTGTGGTTTAAATCTGTTTAAATGTACATACATTTGGTCTGTCATAGGTGAGTTGATCATAGCAATATTGAAATGTTCACCTCTTAGGTTAGTGCTAACATGGTCTATGATCGATTTCCTTGTGGTGGAGTCTCTTGTACAATCATCACCATCATCATTACAGCCCTTCACAAGTCCACTGCTGAACATAGGCCTCCCCCAAGGAATGCCATAAAGCACGGTCCTGTGCCACCTGCATCCATTGACTTCCTGCATGTCTCACCAGGTCGTCACTCTATCTAGTGGGGGGTCGCCCTACACTTCGCCTACCGGTACGAGGCTGCCACTCGAGAACCTTTCTTCCCCACCGGTTGTCGGTTCTTCGAGCTATATGACCGGCCCACTGCCACTTCAGCTTACTAATCCGTTGGGCTATGTCGGTTACTCTGGTTCTACTGTGGATATCCTCATTTCTAAGTTTATCACGCAGAAACACCCCGAGCATAGCCCTCTCCATAGCTCGCTGAGCGACCTTGAGCTTCCTCATACGGCCAGCAGTGAAGGACCACATCTCAGATCCGTAAGTCATCACAGGCAACACGCACTGGTTGTACAATTTCGTTTTCAGGTTTTGAGGTATGTCTAACGAGAAGATGTGTCGTAGTTCCCCGAACGCTGCCCAGCCGAGGTGAAACCGTCGATTGACTTCTCGGTCGAAGTTGGACTTACCTAGTCGGACTATTTGTCCCAGGTAAACATACTCGTCAACAACTTCAAACTTAGTGCTCCCAACAACTACCGACATAGGTGTGACATGAACGTTAAACTTGATTTTTGTTTTGTCCATCATCTTAAGACCTATCCGTTGGGAGACACTATTGAGGTCATTGAGCATAGTGCTTAGGTCCTCCAGCGATTCTGTCATAAGGACTATATCGTCGGCAAATCGAAGGTGAGTGATGTACTCACCATTGATGTTAATACCGCATCCTTTCTAGTCCAGTACCTTGAAAACGTCTTCCAATGCAGCGGTAAAGAGTTTCGGGGATATAACGTCACCCTGTCTTACACCTCTCTGCAGTTGGATAGGTGTCGTACTCTGATTACGTACTTATACAATACGTTTGGTTAATTTTGTTGAGTAATCTGTATCCTGAGTCATTGACTATTTGCTTGTATGTTTTAATTTCTTGTTTTTTGTCAACAAGTCAATGTTGAAATCTCCGAAAACTATTGCTCTCCAGTGATGCTGTAATTGCTTGTCGTATACTTCCAAAAATTTTTGAAAATTGGTATATCCAGGATTATAGACCACGCCAACATTTAGTGCAAATTTTTCAATTTCTATCCATGAGTAGTTATTTCCGTCTTGGTAAGTCGATTTAATAACGTTATGTTTTAAGCTATTACGTATATATGCTGATACTCCAACTTCAACTGGATATAATAATAATATAATCCATCCTGTAGTTGGAGTAAAGTGTGTAGTTAGTGATTTGTAGTTGTAAAGTTTGATTTTCGGTCTGTATCCAAGTTTCTGTGAGCATAATAATGTGTACAATTGTTGATATTGATTGTATGATGCTAAATGCATAAGTTCATCGAGTTTGCATTTTTTCCGAATACTACGAACGTTTAAGTAGAGAAATGTTAAACGTGATTTTGCAGTGTGGATAAGTTGGTAGTCGTTAATTATTTGATAGTTTATGGTATCGCGTGAGGTATTATTTATTAATAGTGATTGGAGTTTTTTAAACCAATTTTATAATACTTCGTATGCCGTTGACATATTTTACTATGAGATCACTTTCTCCATTTTCTATGCGTCGTGAAAGTTCGTCTTTTATATTCAGGAAGTATTTTTGTTGAGCCGGTGTTTGGTTCGAGAAAATTTTTACATTATCAGGTAATTTCTCTTTGTTGCGTCTCTAATGTCACCTTGGCTGTCTCTGGTTTGTCAAAGCAGACTTTAACCTTTCGTTGTTTTCCTGGATTATACTTGCCAATGCGGAAAACCTTATTTGGTTTCGGAATGTCTTTTTCTATCATTGAAGTAATATTTAGAACCTCAACCTCGTCTTTGAGGATTCGCTCTTCGGTGCTGGTGGAATTTTGCTCTAGTATGCCAACTATAATTGTATTATTTTTTCTCTTTTTGCGCTCTTGGACTTCGCAAATAATTTGTTCATTTACAAACAGCTGATTAGTTTGAGTGGCTGGCGAGCTTAAATATAATTGTTTAAAATCGTTTTCAAGTAGCTTTATTTTGTTCTCGCCTTTTGATACTTTTGACTGCAATTGCGATAATTGAGTTTTTATGAGATTGTTTTCGAAAGAAAATTTTGACGTGGCGGTCTTAATGTCTTGGATTTGTATACTATTTCTGCTACATTACACCTAATCAAGTTTCTCGTTTGTTCATGCGAGGCCCGTAGATCGGTAATTTTACTCTTAACTTCAACAATATGTCTTCAAACAAACAAAACAATAGAACAAATAAAAAAAAACAAAATGGTTCTCAACCAATCCAAATTAAGAAAAGCTGCCCGCAGGGTGGGATTCTCTCACCTGTCCTGTGGAATATGGTCATCCATGAACTCATCAGCAAATTAAATGCCAATCACTTCTACACAGTAAGTTATGCTGATAGTGTGTGACCTTACCCAAGCGGCTCTCCGTATAGTGGAGAGATGGTGCAGGGAATACGACTTAACCGTCAATCCAAATACATGTATACGGTTCTAGTAATGTTCACACAAAACGAAAGCTGAATAACTATTATCTTCCAAGTCTTTTCAGCACAAAACTCCAGCTATCCTCTGAGGTAAAATATTTAGGTCTTACCTTGGACAGCAAACTTAACTGGAATAAACACATAGAAAACAAAATCAACAAAGCTAGTATAATTTTCTGGCAATGCAGAAACATCTGGCAACATCAACATCATCTTTTGCCAATCAAAAGATGGGGACTGACGCCAAAAATCATACTGTGGCTTTACAAAACTGTAATTCGGCCCATGATCACATACGGCGCTCTGGTATGGTGGATAAAGACAAATGAAGCCACCACTATAAAGAAGCTTCAGCGCTACCAGACTGGCATGTATGGCTGCCACAGGCTGCATAAGAACTACGCCAACAGCAGCCTTAGAAGCGATGTTGGAGCTAACCACGCTTCATCTACATATACAACAAGAAGCGACTTTAGCTGCCATCAGACTCAAGACCCTAAATCTTTGGAGTAAGAATAGTGTCCCTTATACAGGTATAGTTGATAGAATTCCTATCATACAAGCCAAGTACGATAAAATTCCTAAACAATTTGTTTTCGATAAGAAGTACAAGATACAATTAAATGAAACCAGCCAGCCGGAAGGATTAAGCCCAAAAGAGCTTAGAGTTTTCACCGATGGTTCTAAAACAAATGAAGGTGTAGGTTCTGGAACTTTCTCTGAAGACCTCAATATCAACATATGCACACCACTGGGTACCTATAACACAGTCTTTCAGGCGGAATGTATGGGTATCATTCAAGCGGCCATAGCAATAGATGCTAGGAAGGTTAATGAATTCTCCATCAGAATACTGACCGACAGTAGGGCGGTACTACAAGCTCTGAGTTGCAATGTGGTGAACTCAGGACTTATATATGAACGCTATCAACAATTAAATGAGGTATGTAAAAAACAACAATGTGACTCTGCAATGGATAAAGGGACACAGTGGATCCAGAGGCAATGATGCAGCAGATAAACTGGCAAGAAGAGGATCGGCTCTGGCCACTAAAGGGCCGGAACCAATCATACCAATCCCCTTTGGTAACGTTCGTTCACTGGTACGTAGACACTTCACTAATCAACACGCTCAGCTTTGGAAAAGTCTAGTAGACTGTAGACAAGCTAGGGAGCTAGGGGCTAGCCTTGCCTGAAATAAACAGTCACTTAACCAAAGTTTTAATGAGACTGAACAAGCCGCAGATCAGGATAGTAACAAGTGGTATCACAGGACATGGCAACTTTAACAAACATTTATTTACTATAGGTGTTACAGATAGTCCCTTGTGCAGGGCATGAATGGGGGAGGAAGAAACGGCGGCCCACGTGCTACTGAAATGTTCGGAGGTCGCTACGTACAGGGCTAAACATCTCGGCACGCCGGGTTCACTCCCCGAAGTTGCATGCAACATCAAAGGATTGTTGAGCTTCTTCGGGGAGATCTCATGGCTCGAATAATCACATTATTCCTGCCTACATGCAAAATACTCGCACAGACGTCGAGTTGCGGAAAACATCCCGTCGTAAACTAAACTAAACTAAACAAAATGGTTCATTTGACATTTGGTTAATTAATTAGTTGTGTATTTGACCCAATGTAATTTTCTAGTAAAGAAGTGATTCGTGATAACTCATTTCACACCAACTTAATCTCATCCGAGCACTGGCATTCACGATCAATCGGTTGTTTACGTTTTCTAAAAGTAATTTGTGTATCGTAAATATTATCTGCCGGCATTTTTGACAAGTCAGGTTGCGAGCCGCTGGCGGTTACTACCGCGGTTTCACCTACTGGTGGAGATCGCATTATATTCATTGTAGCAGTTGCAAAGAAATATATAATTTAGTGTACATGATACACCAACATACAACTTCAAGAATGGTATGTTTACAGCGTAAGGTAATAAATATACAACTCACGCGCAGTACTGTATGCTTAGAACACCGGAACAGTGTGCGAGCGAGTCAAAAAATAGCCGCAGTACTGGTACCGCGGAGGTGAAGTAAGTCGCCCCACTCGCTGGTGCAGCAGGCGCTTTAGGCGGCTGCTCGTTTGCCTGCCGCAGGGGCAATTTAGGGTGTAGGAGTGAGGATGATCTTAATTGTCTCCTTAATTGTGATGTGTGTATGCAAGCAGGGGCAATTTTCTAAGTCGGCCCTGCGGCAGTGCAACAGGGGCACAAGACCTTCTTCGCTCCCTAGATCATAACTGCTGATGCCATATGTATATTGCAATTGGGGCAATTTTAAACAGTTCGTTAGCGACTTTCGTGCGGAGCACACGTGCGAGTACGAGTCACAATGGATACCAATAAATAATATGAAATTTTGACACTGGTGATAGAAGTGTATTAAGTGCGGCTTCTTCATCCAGTATCTACTTTTTATTTTAGTTTTTTGCAGAAAGAACATTATTTAAACGTTGTAACGTTTTTAAATGTAGTAGAATCATGCTGCAGCTTTTAAGGACTATTTTATGGTTGTAATTATTAATTTATTAGTTGTTTTAATGATAAATATGGGTATCTATGGGTCACAGTATCCACATACCATCAGGTGGACTGTGCTCAATATAAAAAATAGCCAAGGCTATATATTATACCGATTCATTGATATTTCGATAAAACTGGCGCCTTTCTCAACGTGTGTGTCGAACGAGACGTACACTCTCATACTGAATGGCAGGCATGTGTGTAGAGACAGTTCTGATATTGCCCCGATCGCTTTTCATCCTAGATTGCCCTTGCGGCAGGCAAGTGAGTAGCTGTTAGACAATATTGTCTTCACTTAAAAAGGGTTTTTGTCATAAATCGCATTTCACACAATTAAAGGTCCATTAAGTTTAAATATAAGAAATAGATTTGAGGAGCACTAATTAGATATTTTTCGCCAAAATTAACACACGTCTACTCGGTACAGTAGTTCAACGACACTCATGAATCTTGTTTCTTTTTAATAGCAAGTTTAACAGCAGCGTAATGATGTTGCACATATTTGACGGTAACACGCTAATGTACTCAATAGAATACATATACTATATACCCCTCTGTGCGACTTTTTTTTCTTACGGCTCCTCCAAGCTTCTACAAAATAACAATACCTTGAGATTTCTCCTGTATCGAGAAGGCGTATAATTAGACAAAAAAAAAGAATATTTAAATAAATTTTTATTTGCAAGTTGTATGTGGTTATCTACATCTTACTGATACGCGCATCTGTAAAGCTTCTTCTTTCTTCTTTGACAATATTCTTACTTCCCAGCCGATGCAGATATAATAAAATCACATAGAATTTGTAAATAAATTTTAATTAAATTCATATAAATATTCAATTTAATTTAATAAAGAAAAATGATGGTTGAGTTATATGAAGTGAAGTTATTTCTATATGTTCAAACACTGATTCTGATAACGCACTTATCGGGAACCACATGGTTTTTGTTACATGTTGTATATTACTATACTTTTTGGTCGGAGATGGTTATGAAATGCTGTGGCTACTTACTATTCCTATACTATTTATAATTTTTTAAATTATTCTTCTGCAATGACGACACGACTTTTTCTGCCACCAGGGCGGCGCCACCTAAAAGTGAGATATAATATTTAACAGATTTCATAGCGGGGAAATTAATTTTTTCGAAAAATTTAAAGGTTAATATTTCTTTCTGTGTGTACTATTAGCTATATTTTAATGAGATTAAAAATAAATAGGGTGAGTGGGGGGAAGATCAAAAACGGCGTAACACAAAAAGGCATCAGTAAAGACAGATTTTGTGTAATTTATCCAATTCATAAGACCGCCATTTTGTTACGTACCACACCTAAGTGGGCACTTGTCGTTTTGAGGGATCGGTTGTGTGTTATAAGGGAATATCTACGCTGTGAATTTTACGCGAGCAAGTCGGGTGTTATAATCTTACCCCGTGTCGTGTAACTTGATTTACGAGGTAGGTACGAGTTTTTATTTGCATACATACTTATTATTTTTAATTAGTAGTTGCTATGTCTAAATATCGCTACTTTTTGGATTTTAGGATTTAATTTAACATTCTGTCTTTACCCGCCAATATTTGACGGGGTAAGATAAATATATAAAAGTTTCCATCTTGCCCCGTTTTCAAAAGTCATACAAATGGTCTCATGTTCTCAAACAGTACCTGAAAAAATGTTTTGTTTTGTTACAGCCATTATATAAATTGTCAACGGTACAATTTCAGCTAATATTATCTAAAGGTATTTATTTTAATTTTTGTATATTATAAGAGAAGCAAAAAGAGATGGCTAAGTGATTTCACCGCTGCACATAGACACAAGAAACAACATGAGTGTTACTTGTGCGTTGCCTTCTCATAAGGTATAGAAACAGGATTCGTAGGAATGGGAGTAGGACCTTAAAGAAAGGGGAAAGACCACCAGACACTCGTTAGTAAATGCAACATCACAGCTCCTAGAACAATGCAACGTCACATCGGTTTATCTAGCATACGTCAACATTCGGGTAGCAACAAGACGAAACATGGCAGCCACTAAGAAGCTAACCACTTCACGCTAATTTTCTGTGAGAGGGTAGTATCGCACCGGTCGACCCTGCTCATTTATATGTTACAGTGAACTGTAGACGTGGATCTACTACCAGTTTTTTTATTAATGTTTAGATATAATTTTTTAGAAGTTTTTCTATGTTTTTACTTGTGGCATTTTTCTAAGATCTTATTAATTGGTTAGCTGTTTAATTTTGAAATATTTAATTTTTTTCGTTTTGTGCTACATATTTTGTTGACGAAAATGGTAAAAGGTACTTGTACGTAATTGTGTTTAAAATTATGTTGGCATTAACAATAAAAAAATTATATGATTGATATCTTTCATTTTCTGTATAATCTTATCCAAGTAAAGTGAAAAGTTTGAGAACTTCTAGTTCAATCTTTCCCCGGCGGGGCAAGATTGAAATATAAAATACAAATAAGTTGTGTTATCTGTGTTATTTGAAGATATTTTGATATCATAGACAGTTCTGAAGTGTCAGGACAATTAAAATTGCAGCCTACTGACCGTGAATATCGTCTGACATTAATTTGAACGATTTTAGAAACTACTTCGATCTTTTCCCACCACCCTTTCATCTTTCCCCCTGTTTTATCTTTCGATAAAAACATTATAATTAATTTTTTTTTGCTTTCGATTAAATATAACAAGGATTTATGCTCTTTGTACTTTATTCACTATAGATATAATTTTAGCTTACGTTAATATGTACTGTTCTACAAGACGTCAAACACAACACTTCTCATCTCATCAAAAAACCGTTCGATCTTCCCCCCACTCACCCTAAACCAAACCACAGATATTCATAAAAGTAAAAAAAAAAGTTAAAAATGTGCAAAAAATTAAAGCGCAAACCACTAAGGCATTGTTTTGTGTACAATTATTATTATATTAATATAATACTCTAGAAACTGATAAACTTTTATTAAAAACTAACTTCTTAATTAAATGATATTGCGTAACAAAAAACTTTACCTCAGTGTCATCAAGCGACATCTGGTTAGCAGATAATTATTAGCCCTCATTGTCGCACATTACTATCAGATTTTTATCACGACACTTTATCGATGTTTGTGCCTTTACATACAGCGTAATGGCAAATAATGGCCGACGTTTTCAAACTTTATCTTGCAGATTATAAAGGGTACGCACTTCCGTAAACTGTCGCCAAATAAGGCGCCAGACACATATGTGAAGCTCTGCCTAATAAGTTCGTTGGGTATGGAGATGGGACGGTGCAAGTCCACGACACGGCGAGCGCAGTCTAACCCACTGTACAAGGAGCTGTTTATTTTTCAGGTGACATTATCAGTTTATTTATTTTCTTATCGTAGTATTAGTTCTGCAGTTTTGTTAAGCTTAATAGATTGCAATGAACCTGAGTTAGAACCACCGCCTGACTTATTTTTAGCGTGATACTACAATACGTAATGAATGAAGTATTTTTGGAAACAGACCTAAATTTATCTTTCAATGAATTTTATGAACTGCTTTATCTGTTTCATCAACCTGGAAAATTGTTAAGAATGAACTAGGGCATATAGCAGCAGATAAACCTCTTGACTTAATTAAACACAATAACTCTGTAATAACTGGACATATGAAAGTAGCTGAGGCCTTTAATACTTACTATATTAATTTCACAAATAAAATAAATAATAAATTATATAAAAATAGACTTCAAAATTCAATTTATTTAACACCGGTTGATGAATATCTTCTTTATATATAAAAATTACATGACACATTGTTTGTCCGCGATGAACTCCTAAACTACTAAACTGATGGCAATGAAATTTTGCACACTGTGTGCAGTTTGGTCCAACTTGAGAGAGGATAGTTTTTATCCCTATAAGTGACCCTCAATATTTTTTATTACGAATTTAAGAATTTTTATAGGACACAGGGTCGTCGGAGAGGGCAGAACGTCTGCCTGGTCAGCTAGTGATAATATAAGTAAAATTATAATGACATTAAATAACACATGTTCAGAAGGTTATGATGACATATGTACAAATGTTATCAAAGCGTGTAAAAATCAAATTAGTAAGGCACTATCCTATTTGGTTAACTTAGTGTACTTGGACTTGGACTCGCCGTGTAGTGGTGGTCAAGAATATCCACTACACCATATCTTCCCGTGGGTGTCGTAAAAGGCGACAAAGGGAAACAGGCAGGAGATGGGCAGCAGCATCTTCCTGATAGTAGCCGAAATTACAATAAAAATACTGCGGTTGCCAACCCGCTCGCCAAGCGTGGCAACTATGGCAAATACCCCCCTATGAAGAGCGTAACAAAGAGACGGACCCCAGTCCCCGGCGGCCCCGTTATTCCTGGCTACGGTGGCGACCATGGTAAAGGCGGGGCAGGGGGTGCTAAGAATCTCCGGTGGAGGTTCGGTTGCCACCTACGACGACTCGACCTGGCAACGTACAACGCACGCACGACTGACGAGAAGATCGTGGAGCTGGAAGAAGAGATAGACAAGTTACGCTGGCATATTATAGGATTATCCGAAGTCCGAAGAGAGGGGGAGGACACGGTAATCCTCGAATCCGGCAACTTGCTCTATCACCGGGAGGGCGACCATCTGTCCCAAGGAGGTGTCGGATTTATCGTCCACAAGTCTCTCGTTAACAACGTTGTAAAGATCGAGAGTGTATCGACGAGGGTTGCGTACCTTATACTCAGAATCACCAAACGTTATTCGCTGAAGGTCATACAGGTTTACGCACCAATCTCGGTACACCCCGATGAGGAGGTGGAGGTGTATGAGGATACCTCTAGAAACACGCATACCTCCAAAACCCAATATACGGTGTTAATGGGAGACTTCAATGCAAAACTAGGCACAAGAGAGAACGGTGAGCTGAGAGTAGGGAAATTTGGAATAGGGCAACGGAATCCAAGGGGCCAGATGGTGGCCGACTTCATGGAGAAAGAGGGACTCTTTATGATGAACTCTATCTTCTTATAGGAAGTGGCTCGTGATGGCGAGGGTGAAAACTGGTAGCGATCACCGAATGATTAGAGGCACACTGAACCTAAACGTTAAGTTGAAGAGGTCTCGTCTAATGAAGTCAACGCTCCGTCCCCCTCGTGCTCTGTTCCAAAGTCCTGAAACCTTTCAGCTCGAGTTACAAAACCGTTTTCAGTGCCTAGAAAACTGCAATGAAGTGGACGATATGAATGACAAGCTCGTGGAATCTGTCCATGTGGTCGGAGCTAAGTTTTGCAAGACCCGCCGCAGAAGAACACAAAAACTCTCCGATCACACTCTTAATCTCATGGCTGTTACACGGGAGATGAAGCTACATTCTTCAACAAATTTGATAGCATACAGGCAACTGAACAGACAGATCCCCAAATGCATGCGGCGGGACTTAGGCAACTTCAATACAGCTTGTATTGAAGAAGCGAACGAGCGGAACCAAGGCTCCAAAGTCTTTGCCAGAGATCTGTCTGCCAGAAAGATCCAACTGTCAAAGCTGAGGACTGAGTGTGGCAGCATCGTTTCCGGGGCACCTGAGATTTTGAGTGAGATTGAGAGGTTCTATGGGCAGTTGTACACGTCATCGTTGGAGCCACACGCAAGTGTGAGTAACGATCCAAGAGCGAGTCTTATCCGACACTATTCCGAAGACATTCCCGAAGTAAGTCTGAGCGAGATTAGAATGGCTCTCCAGCATCTTAAAAACGGCAAGGCCCCAGGCGAGGATGGAATTACAGCGGAGCTTCTGAAAGCGGGTGGAAAACCAGTACTTGAAGTCCTTCAGAGGCTCTTTAATTCCGTCCTCCATGGTGGCATTACACCGGAGGCGTGGAGCAGATGTGCGGTGGTCTTGTTCTTCAAGAAAGGTGACAACGCTCTCTTGAAGAACGATTTCCCTTCTGAGCCGCGTCTACGTGCTGTTTTCGAGAGTCATTACGAATCGTCTCGCGCGCAGACTTGACGACTTCCAGCCTCCCGAAAGGGCTTTAGCACCATAAACCACATACATACCCTTCGGCAAGTTGTACAGAAGTCCGAGGAGTACAATTTGCCACTTTGCCAGGCGTATGTGGACTATGAGAAAGCCTTTGATTCCGTCGAAATTTGGGCGGTACTGCAGTCTCTTCAGCGGTGCCAAGTTGACTGTCGGTATATCTAAGTGCTGAAGTGCTTGCACAATAGGGCTACGATGGCTATTCGAGTACAGAACCAGAGTACGAAACCTATCCAATTGCAGAGAGGTGTAAGTCAGGGTGACGTCATATCCCCGAAACTCTTCACCGCTGCATTGGAAGACGTTTTCAAGCTTCTGGACTGGAAAGGATTATTACGGTATTAACATCAATGGCGAGTACATCACTCATATTCGATTTGCCGACGATATAGTCCTTATGGCAGAATCGCTGGAGGATCTAAGCACCATGCTCAATGACCTCAACAGTGTCTCCCAACGGAAAGGTTTTAAGATGAACATGGATAAAACAAAGATCATGTTCAATGCCCATGTCACACCTAAGCCGGTAGTTGTTGGGAGCACTGAGCTCGTAGTTGTTGACGAGTATGTTTACCTGGGACAAATAATCCGACTAGGTAAGTCCAACTTTGACCGAGAGGTCAATCGACTGATTCAACTCGGCTGGGCAGCGTTCGGGAAACTACGACACATCATCAGACATTCCTCAAAACCTTAAAACGAAATTGTACAACCAGTGCGTGTTGCCAGTGATGACTTACGGATCTGAGACGTGGTCCTTTACTGCTGGACCTATGAGGAAGCTCAAGGTCGCTCAGCGAGTTATGGAGAGGGCTATGCTCGGAGTTTCTCTGCGTGATAAACTCAGAAATGAGGATCTCCGCAGTAGAACCAGAGTGACCGACATGGCCCAACGGATTAGTAAGCTGAAGTGGCAGTGGGCCGGCCATATAGCTCAAAGAACCGACAACCGATGGGGAAGAAAGGTTCTCGAGTGGCAGCCTCGTACCGGCAGGCGAAGTGTTGGGCGTTCCCCCACTAGATGGAGTGACGACCTGGTAAGATATGCAGGAAGTCGATGGATGCAGGTGGCTCAGGATCGTGCTTTGTGGTATTCCTTGGGGGAGGCCTATGTTCAGCAGTGGACTTATGAAAGGCTGTAATGATGATGATGATCAATGGAATCTGGCGCCTTTCCAGAAAAATTAAAAGTGTCAGAGCCTGTCAGATCGACTTTCTCCTTTTTGGCATGGGCCAGTGAGTCGTTCTCCCTGTGCAGAGATGGAAGGGATGGCTGACAGAAGTTCCCTTGAACAGCCTTGACGAAAGATCAGAATGCACGCTTTCCAGAAGAAAGGCGAACTAGTTTCTCGCCAATTCTGCCTATATGCTCTGACTTTGGTCTAACAATGACACTTTTGAAGGACCTGAAGGTGGAATTATACTTCTTTTTAAGGAGACTGGTGTTTACATACCGGGACGTTGATGCATCATCCTAGGTCCGGTAGCACTCCTGCTTGTAGCTTGATGCTATTTTACAGGAGTGACTAAACCATGGCTGAGATCTGCCTCCGATGGGCACCACAATGGAGGGAATAAAAATTTCCATACCACATCAGCAACAGAATTAGCAACAATGTTGGGATCGTCCGACGAGAAGCAAACCCGTCCCCAAGGGTAGGATGCAAAGAAAGACCGCATCCCATCCCAATCGGCGGACCTATAGCGCCAAATACGGCGGCAGCCTGAGAAAGCAACCGCGATTTCAGCGTGAGTGGCACCACACTCCGGACTAGACAATGGTCCGAGGAACCAAGAGGGGCGTCGACGGAGACCTGATATCTGTCCGGATGAGAGGTCAGCAGAAGAGGTCTGGAATCCACGTAGGCATGGTAAGCAGTTGTCTCAGACCATATGCCAAGGCAAAATCATGAACAGATCTCTCCTCAGGTTATACGTAAACCAAGTCATTCGGCGTGGTGGGCGTTAAAATCGCCAAGGATCACGATCTCTGCGGATGGGACCTGTTGTAACAAGGAATCTGTAACCATTTGTACGTGGTCGATGTGTCCGTCTGCTTCGACATTACCGCTATGGGACCTATAGAGGCACCCGTAGACGCGCGGATGGTCATCGCTGTCTACGCGTAGCCAAAGGTTGGACAGGTCCGAACCTTCAAGACTGTCGAGGCGTCGAGAACAGATGTCTTCTCTGACGTATACGCAAACTCCAGCCCGAGGCACAAAGGAGTGTTCCAATTTGTACCCCGGGTAGGAGAGATACGAACTATCAGCCGGAGGAGACACCTGCGTCTCGGTCAGAAAGAGCAAGGCCGGCTTCGCCGTCTCGAGATGGTAGTAGACGGCGTTTATCTTCGATTGAAGTCCGCTGATGTTGCAGAAATTACGGGTAGCGTGGCAGGGGTCGTCTTGGTCTTGTTGCTCAGTTAGCCCCGAGCAGTTATTGTTTTGAGCGGATTTTTGCCCCCACAGAATACGCGGTGCAACCTGAGCAGCCACGCTCAGGAGTGGAGTAGTTTGGTCGTGGATACTCAGCGAGGGATATTCCAGGGGTGCTGGTACCCTCCTGGGGTAGTCTTTCATTTAATTCTGCTACCATGTAGATGAAGCGGGTGGGGTCGGGCCTCCGGCCACCTGCACTCACCAGACGACACGCAGAACCAGAGCTTCCACTTCACGCCAGTATTCTGTGAGGTCGTTGTACCAACCCGCCTCGAGCCGGACCATACGTGCAACAGCAAAAGCTGCCGCGTGGCTCTACCAGCGTTAAAAAATCTCATGTAACATACATACTAAAAAGCAAATAAACAAATAAGTGAGGGAGTAGGGAATGCATCTATTGCAAGAGCCCCTATTTCACACACTCATGCACGCTAATCCTGTCCTGCCCAGATAGGCTCCATTGCGACGAGCCGCAATGAAATCATAGATTATAGATTACTCTTAAATAAAATTGAAATAAAAATTAAATACATATCATTATTTTAGATCTAGAAATTCCCGAGATTGCATTCATAATATTTGTTAAAATTTTCTATATCATAGTGCTTTTTTGTACTAGGATTCCGTCTGGGTAAATGCAATTTATTTGTTGACGGTGTAGAGCCACGCTGCAGCTATATTAAGGCTGCAGTACGAATGGGTCGACCTGAGGTCAACGTGAGAGCATGGCCCTTCCCCGGACCGGGTTTTTTTATAGGATAGGGTGAAAAACGAGCACACAGTCCACCTGATGGTAAGTGGTTGCTGCGGCCCATAGACATCTACATTTATCCTTAACAAAGAATCAAAATGCAGATGCGTTGCCACCCGTGAGGACTAAGATGGAATGCCTCGTTTCCAGTAAAAAGGGTCTCCGGTTTTCTACACTCACCATAGGAAACACAGCAGTGTCAAGCTGATATTTTACGCTGGTATTCTGTGAGAGCGTGGTCCTTCCCCGGTCGAGGCGACCCATTCGTGTTATACTACTAATATAGCTCCAGCATGGCTATACCTTGTCTACGAATGGCTCAGGTCGACCCATTCGTACTGCAGCCTTAATATAGCTGCAGCGTGGCTCTACACCGTCAACAAATAAACTGCATTTTTTTATTCTGTGAGAGCGTGGTCCTTCCCCGGTCGAGCCGACCCATTCGTGCTACAACTATACTATTAATATAGCTGCAGCATGGCTCTACCACGTATAAAATATATAAATAAACATGCCATAACATTTTCGCAATTCCTTTCCTTTCATCTTTAACCAAAGGAAAAAAATAAACAATTTATATTTTACTCAATCTACAGGTGGCACTCTTCCAATTGACCGAAGTAACACTTATGGTGTCCGTATGGTGGCGACGCAGCGTGAAACGTAACGAGATGGTCGGATGGTTCTCTTTAGGGCATAGTTCTTCAGGACGTGAAGAAGAGCGACATTGGAAAGAGTTGTGTGAACGACCGGGAGAACAGGTGAGTTTCAGTACAATAAAAATAACATGTTACAGTATATCCCACGGCTGGCTGTACACAAGTCTGTTCTCAATTTTGAGTGTATCATTTTGTTATGTCTCAATGGTCATTATGGAATAATTAGTGTGCTGAACTGCTATTACAGTATATTTCTGGGAAATAAATATATATTTCATTCCTCAGATATGCAGGTTTTCCCACGAGGTTATCGTTTACTGCCGAGCACGTGATAAATCAGCACATAGAATTTCAATTAACTATTTTATTTCTGGCGTAAATCGTAGCCGGATTGCTCGCGAACTGTGAAGTTTACAGCGACCGCTTGGTTCCTGTTCTACCACGGCGTAAAATTTTTGTTATTCCTTCACTGTCACATGTAGAGCATTTTTTAAGATGTACATCTACGTTAATCACCAAAAATGACATGATATACTTTTAAAACATTTAATATGTTGATATTTTTCCTTTATTACTGACTAGCTGTGCCCCGCGACTTCACCCGCGTCTAATTTACTACGATTTCATGGATATTAATTTTTTTATTACCATCTTATAAATATTGACATTAATTGATATAATTTATACGATACTAACGTCACTCAGTTGTTTTGCCTTCCCGGAACCCCTCCACTAACACTTAAACTTTATGGTATAGTATTAAAGTTCAAATTCACTTTTAAGTATTATTACGAATCTTTTGTATGAGAATATAGAAAAGTGTTGTTTTTAGAATTTTTCAGGCAATTTTTAAAATTTTTCTCTCCGTAAGAACCATCTTCGTACTTCAAGGAATATTATAAAAAAAGAATTAGCGAAATCGGTTCAGCTGCTCTCGAGATTTGCGCTTAGCAACACATTCAGCGATTCATTTTTATATAATAGATTTAGAAATAAGGATGACAAATAAGTACACAGTCGTATAGACACCGTGTATCAAATAATGCAGTTAATAAATACCTACATATGTTCATAGGGATATCTTAATTCATATAGCAATTTGAGAGATCATATTATTTGTGATTAAGTATGATAAACCAGCAGGCGTGTCACTTTGTAAAAATCTGAGGTATGGAAAATGGTGGCGCGATTTTCAAATTTGTTCGCATTACTCGTGGGGTATTAAGGTTTAAGAGTTTGCAGTGTATATACTCAACTTATTTATTGAACTATAAGATGTGGGGTAATGAGGTTTAAGGGCTTGCGATTTATTTATATGGGGTTTGTAGTAATATGCGATTTATTTCCTAATTTCAGCTATGGAATTCCATACCTTGAAAAACTTGAGGTATGGAGTGCTCCATACCTTCCATAGTGGAAGTGACACCCCTGTAAACCAGTACATAGTTCACCTGTTGGTAGTGGATGCTGTGGCCCATAGATACGACTACGAGTATAGCTACTATTTGACGCTGGTGTTTGGTGCGAGAATTGTTCGATTCGATCAAATACGCTACATTATAGCTCTATTAGAAACAACGAAAATGGTTTAAACAGTAAATCATTTAAAAAACGCAAATGCGTAAAATAACTTTCTCCTCCCTTTTTTGTATTTACAAGTGCAATATATGAATACAATATATCTAATATTATTAAAGTTGTTAGAATTTAATTTTCTTATTTCCGCGTAATGAAATAAAATGATGTGCCCTGCCCAGTTTGAAAGCAGGTCGGCCACCGCAGAGTGTACTTCATCTGAGGATGCCTCCTATAGAGGCGAAGCACATGTCGTAATTATCGAGGATGATGTGGTGTGGCTTTCCTAGTGTGGTGGTGTTGGGAGTGGCGTAGCTGGGATTGGTGGTGATGGGGATAGTGCACGCAATTGAGGGAGGACGGAAAGTGCTCTTCAAACTGGGCAGGACAGGACAATAAGCAAATTAAGTTATAACAACTTTAATGTAATGGTTTTCCGCAAAGTAACTCATGATTCTATTAATTATTAAATATTATATAGCCTATATATGTCACACCCAGAATTAATACAAATTTAAAGACGCCTCATATGTCTCAAGCCGTTAAACTACAGAGTGTACCGAAGAAATAGGCATACATACATACTCTCGAAAAACATTAACCTCCATCTGGGGCAGACGGGTAAAAATAGACTGCTACGAGTACGCACTGGCTTCGAAAAAAATATTCTTGATATTGGGAGTACAGATTTCAAAAGTATCCGGCTCCAAAAGTATATTATGCGTGATTAATTCAAACGTATCTGCTTTACACATGCTTTCCCAGGCGGACATGTTATTATAGGCTCCGAGCATTAATGAAAAATTCGGCCTGTTATACGTGAAAAACCAAACGCTGTCGGATGCTATTCAAGTTGGCCTATATATACTGACACATACTCGAATATATATAGGTGAAATTAAATACCCGAAAAATTTCTTCGAAAATACAATAGGGAGCTGCGGCCACACTTGTAGTTATTACAATTGATAGAATCAGGTGTCACTACGCGGAAGTCTATTATATTAATGATGTCGGAAATTGATTGACTAAGATGTGCGTAATAAAGTAAAATGATGTTGAACCTAGTTTGAAGGGTAGAGACATTATTTTATTTTATTAATTAAATTTTAACATCATCCAGATAGTTATCTTTCTTTGTTATAGGTACAACGATGGCATGTGCTGCTGGATTCCTGACGGTCATCAACTTAGCGCGTGTAGGTCGCGTCTTCTTGAATAAAGACATGTGCCGAGCACATCTGTGACTGACCGCACTGTGCACCGGTGCTTTTGCGTTGCGACTTGCTCGCTCGCCGTCAGTCGTCCAAACCTAATCGCCTTTTCAATCAACATTATTCGACGTGGCTGGCGAAGACGGTTTGTTTCCATTTTCTTACAGACCTAAATGTTCTAGGTCTTTTTTCAATGTTACGACATTATACGAATTACGAACGTGTTGCTTTGATTGTTTCAGCACGAAAAATGGCTTTTTCTATGTGGATACTAGGTGATACTAATTACTTCATTAAAGTTTTATGGTACTGTTTTTGTGTGTTTGGATATAGAGTTGATTATTATTTCAATATTTAATTAATCTTCCTTTAAAGGCAAGCACATTTTAACTGGTGGCAAGTTGTAATTGTGTCCGTACAACATGTAAGAGATTCAAAAGTATTTAAAAATTTATGAAATTAAAAAAGAGTCTTTTTACCAGTGTAGTATATTTACAGTATTTGATTGAAACTATTTCAAATAGTTTTACGTCGTTATTCATCTATATATTTATATAAAAAGATTTATTACGCATTCAATTTACTAACTTGTATTATATAATTTATTTAAACAATTTTAATATAAGGTTTTGTAGCATTTTTAACAAAGGAGAAGACTTCGAGCGCACAATACTTGTGAGATAGAATAAAATATTAGAGAAATATTATACAAATTACGTAATAATTCCAAATTAAAATATCATATTTTTCTTAATGCCACAATATATATAGTAATTTATTGTCGATAAGATAAAAAGTAGCTCTTCCTTCATTGATAGATTCCTATGCACACAGCTTCGCCAAATTCATAACAATCTACTGTCTATTAATTTTAGGAATTCACTGTGACAGCCTTATAAACCAACTCTGGTAACTAAAAATAGCATAAGTATGTATGGTACATTATTTTGCTCAATTTTATGGATACTCCATTGATTTATTTACTGTATTTTGAATACTGGCAATCTATTGAATACTATGATAAAATGTTTATTAAAACTAATAGGCTATTCATGTTAAAAATAAATTATTATTATGAATAATTTTCTTGTTATCTTTAAAAACAGTAATTTTTTATACTTTCATGTAATTTATGTCAATTGTCGTAAGTTGTTTTATTGTAATTTTACATTTAAACGATATAAATAATACGTAAAATATTTGTTTAGTTGTAAGTAAGCTGCGTATGAAATACAAAATTAAACTCGGTGTCACGTAAACACAAAATGCTTTTAATATATTATGTAGTATAAATGTAGATTTTTTATCTGGGATTGTGTAAGAGTTCCATGTCTTTTGGTGCTCCTATCAGGGCCATTGCCTTAATGATAGATAAAGATTTGTAAAGATATCAAAATATAAAATAGTTTTGCTATTCTACTTACATTTATTTTTGTTTATCTTAGTCGCCACATTATATTGTAGCCAAATACCTATATCGAATAATTTCATTGTTTTAATACATTTTACCAGCACAACATTTATACAGTATTGTATGTAATGAACAGATTAGTTTTGTGGGGTAAAGGTTGTAGAATGGAGTTTTAATCGTAGTTGTATAAAAGTGGGACAACAAAATTTGTTATCAAAGGTTTAAACTCAAAAAATTATAGTATTTTAAAAATTACTTCATTTGGATGTACACTGAGAATTACTCAAGAATAAAATGAAGTCATTTTTCATAAACTCACGCCTGTCACCCAGAGGGGTAGGCAGAGATTATGGACTTCCATTTGGCACGATCCTGACACACCTCTCTCGCTTCCTCCACATCCATATACCTACGTATACACGCTCGTCGGTTAAAGGTACTCTTGATTTGGCCCATTTTTAATATATCGCCAATTTGGTCGATAATTTAGCAGGGATGGTAGATATGATAAGGATATAGAACGACGAGTGAATGCAGGAAATAGAGTGAATGGGGCTCTACACTCTATTGTGAAAAGTCAGAATGTGTCCAAAAAGGCACGTATGGCAATTCACAATGCTGTGTTAGTACCTACTTTAATGTATGGTAGTGAAAGTTGGGTGTGGCAGAAGAAGCATGAGAGTAGAATAAATGCTGTAGAAATGCGGTCATTAAGGAGTATGTTAGGGATGAAGCTGAATGACAGAGTGAGAAATTGTTTAATAAGAGAAGAGTGTGGTTTGCAAGATGATGTTGTGACCAGGATTAAGAAAGGAATGCCTCGGTGGTTTGGCCGTGTAGAAAGAATGAATGAGGAAAGAGTGACAAAGCAAATTTATGTTGCAGAGGTGAACGGCATAGTCGGGAAGGGTCGCCCTAGGCGAAAGTCATTTTTCTTTCACCATAATTCATTCACCAAACCTTTATCAATTGCTTAAAAAGTAGGTTTTGCTACACGTTGTTTATTTGTATTAAATAAGATAAAAACATAGAGTAACAGTATGAATACGGCCTTCTACAGGGCTTCTACATTGTCAGAAATAACTACATAATTGGAACATTTATATATGACTATTAATGCTAGTATTCAGTAACAATTGCATAAACAAATAATAAGCTATGCCAAAAGAATTAACTACTGTTATAAGAACTTATTTTCAACGTTATTAATAAAAGAAAAATAGTAAGTACTAAAAACATATACAGGATTATATTTCAAAGAGTAGCCAAATTTTAAACTTATGTTCAAATGTACAAATAATGATATACCGTTATTGAGGTTTTTGAAAATACGAGTAAATAAGGCATCTACTTTTATTTGAAATTATCCCAAATTGAACGTGATTTATGGGCAACAACGTTTTTACCTTCCGATCGACCCTTACGAATGTCTGCGTGCGCAGTAAAATCAGTTAAAATAATGCATTACCACACGTTTCGAATTTAAAAGAAAAAAGGATAGAATGTTTTGAGATTTTTTTAATTAATTTTTCCTCACTATTTGCCTATATTCTGAGCCTTCTCTGCAAATATGGCCGGTTATTGCAAAATAACCCTGTATATGTATATATTAAAATTATACATATACGGTATATACATATATATTAAAATTAGGTATGAATTGAAAACAAAAACAAAAGCACTACGTGCTATTGAAACTTCTGGAATTTGTTAAAAAACTGTAGCCATCGGTTACATGCTACGTTGATTGGTGTTTGCTACGCCGTAGGTGTAGATTATAGAATACATATTATGTTGATGCAAGATAGGTAAATACAACACCTTCTTCAAACCTTTTTAAATAATTGTAGGAAGCTAGTCTTTTCAGACACATCAATATTATTTTTACATACATTTCTTACAAATTCTACTGTTATGAATGGAATTTTCCCAAATGAATAAAACACCTGTATCGTGTGGGAGAATAGTTTTATTTTATTCATGCTGATTCGTGCTTTTCAAATGTAAAACACCAGTTGTAGATTCAAAATGATGTCAAGGTTTTCATTTTTTTGATGCCGATTTGCGTGATATATCTATTGCTGCTAAAGATAATTATATGTCTGGGCGGCAAGACATTTGAAGAATAGGTTTTTAACAGAACTATTGCTGTCACGCCTTGTCCGTTGAACTGATTATATCTATGAAAAGTTGACGAAATCATCATCTTGTATTCCCTTCTTGGACGTTATATTCTGGGTTACAAGTAGACATTTCAAGAAAAGGTTTTTAAAAGACCTATTGCTGTCGCACTCTGTTCTAACGACCGAGCTATACCTACAAACGAGAAGGACAACTGCAGCTCGGATTGATTATACTTACAAAAATTGACGAAATCACTACAAAGATTAGATTAACGGTAGGATTAATCTGTGTTTTTGCTCTCCTCCAAAATTGGTCCAATTTTTTTTTAAGAACATTAAGAGACGAGTTGCGGTTATGTCAGTATGTTTTAATTTTACATGTTTTGTTTGATAAATTTGATTGCTGGATGTCTGAAAACGGCAATATAAATGGGCAATTTTATTTTTATTTTTATTTGATTTTATTAAAATAATTAATATATGAAAATAAAACGTAACAAAAACATGACACTGGTAGATATAGATTGTATCATTAAAAAAAATATTTGCTCTATTGTCATTATCCAGGGAGATTACAGAGGTATATGTTTGTTTGGACTAAAAGCCTACGGTATAATATAATCTTGTCTTTGAAAATATGCTCGCTTTTCTTTGTCATATGGGAGTTTCTTAAATATACACAAAAAAAACATAATAGTGGCGCCCTTATAAATGCTTCTTAACCATATTTACTTTACACTTACGTGTGTATTACTCGTATACTTATTAATCTTTAGTAAGACAGATTACTTTATTTAATAAATATGCTTTTGACTGACCAATTATTATAATTAAGGTAGATTTCACATTTTATTACATGTCAAAAATTAAGCGGAAATCGATGTATAAACAAGAATGATATTAAAAGTAGAGCCCCGAAGCACCAAGTAGATTGAAATAAAAGGTTACAGATTTGTTTTATATTTTGTGTAACAATTATTACACATGGTGCAGATTTATGGAGCAAGACGTTAAGTATAGTATATGTTTATGTTAAACACCTCATAATCTATTTAAAAAAGATCGCCGAATCTCTATTTGATATTATGTATTATATAAAGGAGGTTGAAGAAATCTTTTAAAAAAAAAGTGATACGTTAATCTTTTGAATTATCATATTTTTTAATTAAAAATATATTATGGGAAATTTCATTGTTATATTTTACTTCTAAAATTTATTAATAGTTTAATGAAATGAGAATTATTAATTGTATATGTTAAAGTTACGAAGTTTATCATTGTATAATTATATTACAAAGAATTGTATAATTTTTTGTAGAAGTGGGTTTTGTGTATGTTTTGTACAATGTGAGGACGTAAATGTTTTTTTTTTTTTTTTTTTTTTTTTTTTTATAGGATATGGGTGACAAACGAGCACACAGTCCACCTGAT